GGTTATAGACATGCAAATGTGAAACCACCCACCCTGTTCCTCCAGCTGCCACCTTGCTGCACATCCTCTCCACCAAGTCTGCCTGTCTCTCCCCCTCCTACCTGTCTGAATGAATGTTTCTTCTTTAACTCCATGGTTGGCAGACTTCCATACAGGTTGATTTTCTGGCAGTTCTGGTTATTTTTTGTTTTTAAATTTGTTGTTGTCCTTCTTTCGGTTGTACAAGGAGGCAAAGTGTATCTTCCTATGCCTCCATCTTGAATGGAAGTCTCTCCAAGTGATTCTAATATGTAGTGAGGTGGAGTAGGGCTGCCAGGTTTCAAGACTAATCCCAGTCAATTTGTTGAAGGTCTTAATGCAAAGAATATTCCATACATGTCTGCAGGGTAACAACTATTGCTGAGAGAGGGACAGAAAATGCTCACAGCAATATTAGTTATACTTCTAAAAAACAGTAAAAGTATTTCTGGAAAGGTCAATGTTTTCAAGGCAAATGCATAGTCACTTTGCATTGATGAGGAAAAACAAAGGTTCTGGGCAAGAGGATATAGATGGAATACATTTATTCCATCAGTAACTATATATGTTCTTTCATTAGGGCAATTTTTTTTTTGGTCTTGCCAGCTGTTGTGTTGTAAGGGGTGGAGCCTTAGTTATTCACTAGGGAGCGGCAACTCACACTGCTGCATTGTGGCACTGTATATGGGGGAGGCATCGGAGAGGGAACAATGCCACTTGCTCAGCTCTGAGAAGGGCTGAGACACAAGTCTTATATGGGGCACAAGTTTTATTTCATTAGTTAGTTCCTTACCAGATAGTAGGGCATTTCTAAACCAAAAAAAATTTTTTTATTCCTAGGTATCAGATTAGGGACAAATATGCCAGACTGCAGAAGATAAGCAATTGTGATTCTCAATTCTGGCTATATTCATTTTCTACTGCTATGCAACAAATAACCACAAGCTTACTTAGACCAACACATATTATCTCAGTTCCTGTAGGTCAGGTCTCATCAGGCTGAAATCAAGGTGCTGGCCATGGCTGTGATGTCCTCTGAGGGTTGGGGTCTTCTGCAAAATCAACAGTTGTGGCAGGATCCAGTTTCTTGAGGTTGTAGGTCTGAAGTACCCATTTCCTTTTTGATTATTAGTGAGGACTGCTCTCCTAGAGGCTGCTCTCAAGTCCTTGTCACAGGGTATTTCACACATGGTTATTTGCTCATTGAAGGCAAAGAGTATCTTCTGGTTCATTCTCTCTGATTTAAGTGCTCACCTGATTTGGTCTGGTCCACCTACAATAACCTCTAATTTAAGGTCAACTGATTACAGACTTAATTACTCCTGAAAAGTCTCTTGACAGAAATGCCTAGATCAGTGATTTATTGACTAGTTGGGAGGTGAGTGCATTAGGAGTGGAAATTTTGGGGGCCGAGCCATCTGAGAATTCTGCCCATCACAACGGTCCCCGCTCTATAACTTTTATCCCTCTGAATCATGTGAATTCACCCTTCTTCCTCCAACCCATTGAGAAACACCAATATAGTATAAAAGCTACAGGGTCTGGCACAAATAATGCCCCTTCTTTATTACAAAATCATAAGCATGTAATTCCATAACATAGCAATGTCACACTCAAGCACATCATACGACACTTTAGGTAAAATGTTCATATTAAAACTATAAATTAATACATGCATATTATTACCCTACCAACAACACTCAATTAATGGCATTAATTCTGTGGGACCCTGTATTTATCTGAATTTTATATATACATTTATAGCTTTGTCTAATTACAAAAGCTTATAGTGAGAAAGTTCCAAATAATACAGAGATATCTTAGGTAGAGTATAAGTCACACATAATGCCATTACAATCAATACCCATTGTTGGATTTGGCATAGATAAAATCTAATCTTTTCAGTACATTTACTAACATAATATATGTAAAACACAGATACATTTATTTACTTTAGATCTCCTAGAGTAGGTCAAATCATCCAAGTATAGAACCTTACCACACTGTATCCTTTTTCTTCATATTAGTTTTGCCTTTACTTGAAATTTGTAAAAATTAATCTCTTCTAATAGACTGAATTTTCTGATGGAATTACATAGGTCTGTTTGTGCTTACCATCATATTTCCAGAGAATACTTGTTGAATGAATAAAAGAACAAAACAGTACAAGTTACTTTTGACCCTTGGTCTACTTAACCATTCATGTTTACTGAGAGCTCACTACATGCAAGGAACCATTCTAGGTGTTGAATCCTGGACATCTTTTAAGGCTGCTACATATATTATGTGCCACATTTATCTGGCCAGTGTACTTGTAGTGGGCATTTACGGATACTAATAAAAGTAGTTTTGAGAATACAAAGCTCTCATTTGTCACTGGAAAATGAAAAAAACAAACAGCATTTACAAATAAGTTTTCATAAGGTGCCCTTCCCTGCAGCCCCCCAAAAAGAGCACCAGTCAGGTAGGATAAAGGTCTTGTTTAAGTTATTTACTTATTCTGTATTTTATCTCCCTGTGACTGAGTTTCTGACCCATCTGCTTGTGTGAGAATTTGCTTAAGTGTATATATCCTAACAGAATATAATACTTAACCTTAAAGACAGGATTACCACAAAGCCTATTTTTTATGTTTGCTGTGAGAAACTGATTGTACTCATTATGCCATAGAAAACTGCATTTGTTAGAATGTTTGTTTTAAGAAATTGGGCTTATTTGCCCTGGCCAGGTGGCTGAGTTGGTTGGAGCATCACCATGTACACCAAAAGGTTGTGGGTTTGATTCCATTTCAAGATACATACCTAAATTGTGGGTTTAATCCCTGGTTGGGCATGTAAGGAAGGCAAACAATAGATGTTTCTATCTCACATCAATGTCTCTCTGAAATCCATAAAAACATAGCCTCAGGTGAGGATTCAAAAAAAAGAAAGAAACTGGACTTGTTTGTACAGGTTAATAACAATCATTATTATGCCAGTGTATATAATTCACTATCTTTTTATTTTAAGATTTCACTTATTTATTTTTACAGAGGAAGGGAGAGAGAAAAGGAGAGAAACATCAATGTGAGAGAGAAACACTGATTGGTTGCCTCTCCTATGTGCCCAGACTGGAGACTGAATCTGCAACCCAGACATGTGCCCTGACTGGGAATAGAACCAGCCACCCCTCGCTTTGTGGAATGACACCCAACCAACTGAGCCACACTGGTCAGGAGTAACTCAACATCTTGAGCTCATTAACTTCATGGTGTAACTACATCACTTCATAACTGACATAAATTCACTTGCTTCTCAGAGAGCACCAAAACCCTTTGTCTTTGCTTTCTCCCTTATAGGCAGGCCTGTTTGACCAAAATAAATGCCATGGTTCTAAAACACAATGCAGGGCATGTTTCTGTTTCAACAAAACAAACGTTTTTTGAGCACTTCTAAATACCGGGTACATTGCTGAGCACCCTTGCATACACCATCTTATTCGACTTCTTAACAACAGCCAAGGTACATACAAGGATTATTCCCGTCTTACAGATGAGGTTGAGTAGCTTCCCTAACAAAACACCACTAGCTATGAAGAGCTATTTGCTTTGGAGAACTGAAAGCTCTGGGTGAAGGACAGTCAAAATAATAACTTTCAAATATCTGACCGGATTCTTTAATGGTAGAGTGATTAGCATATTAGGTCATAGCACTAAGGATATAAGGACCAATAGATACAAGTTACAAAGAGGACATTCAAGATGAAACAGGCTTTTCTGGATATAATACAATGTAATACTTGGAGAATAACTTTGAGCTCTGGATGGAAATTGAAATGAATGGCCTATGAGGGCATTATCAACTCTGAGTCCACTATTCTCTCCCACTTCTGTATTTCTCACTTCTCTCAACCCATCACCCTCTCTCTCCTTCCACCTGGACCCATACACTGGTGCATTCAACCTTTTTTTCCATTCAACAAATATTTGCTGACCTGTACCATCCACTACAGTAGCCACCGGCGGCTATCTAAGTTTATTAAAATTAAATAAAATTAAAAATGCAGTTCTCAAGTTGTACTAACCACATTTCAAGTGCTTAATAACCACATGTGCCTAGTGGCTACCACATTGGAAAGTTCTGCTGGACAGTGCTGTTTCAAACAGCTGAAGTAGTGATGGTAGCCACAAGAATGAAAAAATCTTGAGTTCTTGACCTTAAGGAGCTTATAGCCTAGGGGAGGGAAAAAAAGACACCCAGTATGTATCACTTCTTAAGAGCTAACATTTATTGAGTTTTTGTGTGAATTGGGCAGTGTGCTAAGTACTTTCTGTGACCATTTGGGTACATCCTCCTAACACCATAAAATAGGTGCCATCATTATACTCCTTTTACAGAGAGAGTAACAAGTTAAATTAATTTGCCCAGCGTACATGGAGTATTTTTTATAGGGCCTCATGACCAAGGGTATGTATGTGTGGGGCCACAAAATAAAGTGAGCATCCGTTTGGGGATCTTAAGGGAAGATTAGAAGTGCAAAGGATTAACACCCAAGTCTGTCTCTAGACCACTCTTGTTCAACGTGTGGGCCATTGATTATCAATATCAGAATTTCCAGGGTGAGCATTAAAAGTCTTGATTCCTAGCACCCTTTTAGGAGCTCTGTGGGAGGGCCCAGGGAATCTACATTTTAAACAAGCTCCCAACTCTTCCCCAGAGATTCTTTCCTGTTCACTAGATGACGTTCGAGCACCAATGGCCCACACTACCTGGTCCCCTTTCATTGCGCTTTTCCCAGGCTGCCCCATACTTGCCACCTGACTACGAATGAATTTTGCGCTGGTGACTCAGGCAGGCCTCTAGGGGCCTCTTTCCCTGGCGTAAAATGGGGAGCTCCGCGGGTCTGAGGGCACTAGTCGACTGGCGCAAGGAAGGCCTCCCAACACCGTGGCCCCCGCGGGACCGCTACAGTCCCGCCCCTCTCGGCTTGCCCGGCACGCCTACCTTCGCATATCAGCTCCCACAGGTTCTTCCTTGGTGCTTCTGCAACCTTCTCCGGCGAGAGGGCCCGCTCGGGGGACCTGGGGCACATGGTCGGCACTGGCGTCCTGGTGGTGACAGACGACTTTACTGAGTAGGCCTCGCGTTGCCCGGAGAAACTGCTCACCCGCCCCAGTGCCGCCATTGGCGCGGTTTCCACGACAACCACGCTCGGGCGCCCCCCCCCCCATGACCCGGAAGATGCAGAGCTCTGGAACTTCGGACCAGCCACTCGAAGTTGATATCCGGGTCACGCCGGAGTGGGTTTGTGTGGGAATCGGAGAAGTTTGACCTGCAGGTGAGAATGGTTGGTGTAACGTTAGAAGGGCGGAGAGGGGTCTGGAGATGGGGCTTGGGGACTTGGACAGTGAACAGATTGAAAAGTGGAGGACCTGCGTTCTCAAGTTCATGCCGTATCTCTCTCTTTCCAGTCTCCGCTATGTCCTGGCCCTGGCTTGAGGCCTCCGCCTTCAGGAAGTTCTCTTCTTGTAGCGGGGCCCGCAGCTGGATTCTTCCCAGTGTGTTTGTGTGGAAACTTTGGCTCAGCAAAGCCTTTTTAAAAAAAATATTGTATTTATTTATTTTTACAGAGAGGGGAAGGGAAGGAGAAAGAGTGGGAGAGAAACATCAATGTGTGGTTGCCACTCATGTGCCCCCTATTGGGGACCTGGCCTGCAACCCAGGCATGTGCCCTGACTGGGAAACGAACCAGTAACTCTTTGCTTCACAGGCCCTGCTCAATCCACTGAGCTACACCAGCCAGGGCTCAACAGAGCCTTTGAGGGACCAGCTTTGCCTACTGGGTCCCTTGCTTCCTGCTAGTGATCCTGTTGTGGAAGTGGGGTCTTGGTGCTCTTGTGCAGAACCCAGACTCCAGGTCTCGGCCTGGGTTCCAAAGTTTCCAAGCTTCAGTTTGCAAGTCTTTGAGATGGTGTAGTCATACCATCCTTCATGAGGCTGCCACAACAGTTTAGTTGGGTTCACTTTGTCTTGTTGGAGTGAATACATTTGGGGTTGCAGGGTTGAAGAGGATATTCATTGCTAAAGAGAATCGGTGCTACTGTGTTCTGAAGACAGAAATGGGGGGAGAAGGTGATTAAGTTGACAACAATCTTCCCTTGGTTTATTTTATTTTATTTTGTTTTGTTGTTGTTTTTTTCAAATCAGGTCTGTTGACCACTCCTCCATCTGAGGCACTCTGTGCTCCCTTGACTCCACCCTCTCCAGGTTTGTATCTTCTCCCTCTTCTTTGCCATGCACTTTTTTTCTGCCCACCCATTGAAAGTCTACTCTCTGAGGCTCTGTTTCAGACTGTTTCTGTCCAACGCTTAATTACTATCCATATATTCCAAATACATGGAATATATGGCTTTTATATATTTTGCCCATGGCAGCCTAGTCACCTCTGAACCTCAGACCCACATATCCACCTGTCCATGTAACATCTCCACTTAAATATCTCAAAGTATTTGTTCAAACCAACATACCCCCAGCCTCCCACCACCACCTTCAGTTCCTTTGTCTCAGGGATTAGTGCCAACACCCTGCAGTTGCCCACAGTGGAAAACTGTTTTTCAGAAAGTTTCCTGACAACTGGTAGTCTAGGTTAGAAGACCTCCCTTATCCTGACATTACCTCTGTGCTTGCTTTTATCACCTGTATCATCTGTGTTATTACACCACTTTCTCTCCCACATCTGCTTGCTTTTTGATGGCAGGTGTTTTATCTCATAATCTTTGTATCTTTAATGTTCATCCCTCATTCAATGAGTACATATTTTTAACACCTATGTGCCAGGTACAGGGTTAGGCCCTGGGAGTACAAGCAGACCTTGTCTTACTGTGCATCACTTTATTGTACCTCACAGGTATTGTGTTTTTACAAATGGAAGACAACCCTCCACCAGCCAAACGATTGCTATTTGCTGTATTGTGATACTCGCTTTATTATGGTGGTCTGAAACTGAACCCACAAAAGTCTGCCTCTACAGCAGAAAACAAGACATGAGTGAATGAGTGGGTGCTCCCTTGACTCTTCTGGAGCAATTATGAATGAATTTGAGCTCTACCTCAGGCCTGGCCTGGTTCTTTGAGGCTGCTAAGAGTGAGGCAGGTCTGATGCTGAAGAGAACTCCAAGATGGAGAAGCTCCTGACCTTCCCCTCCCACTGTGTAAACCTTTTATTAGAGGATATTTGTTTCTGGTTTCCCTGAGTATCTCCATGTCATCCAGGGAGCAACAGGAACTGAGATGGTGACTAGGGTGAGAGAAATAGCCCAGCTGGAAGCTGAAGTGTATTGAGGGCTCCAGCCTCTTCATACAGGTGCCTCCCTGACATTTTCCAAAATAATATAAATAAGTAAAAGGCTAGACACTCTAGGTTGCTCTGTGTCATCTTCAGTCATTAAATGTTAGCAGTTTATTTGAAAATTTAAAAAGGCAGGCTGGATGTCCTCCTCCTTGCTCCCCCACACCTGCCTCTGATTTAGTTCAACTCTCCTTTTATGGATGGGGAAAGTGAGGCCTAGAGAAGCCAGCAGCTATGAGGCAAGAATGTCAGAATCACCATTTGAACCCAGGTGTTATGTAGCCTAGATAGGGCTCCTCTCACTATACTTGTCTGCTGGTCTTATTACTGCCACACAGGGAAGTAATTAGAAGAATAAGTCACTTAGGTGCAGGTTGGAGGAATTATTTCTAGACACAAAGCATAACTGTTTAGATGAACAGACTTACGGGTTAATTGTGCCACAGTCACTGCAGTGGTGGGAGTCAGCAAGAAGGACTGACATTAGGAATACTGTACTCTTCATCCAGTATAATGTGAGTCCCTGGAGGGCAGTGCCTGGTCTGTCTTGTTTGATTGCAGTTGTACTCATGGTAGGCAGTTGGTAAATTTCTGAAGAATGAATCTCTAGGCTTAGAGATTTGAGGAAAAGGGTTAGGAAAAGGAGTCAACAATGTAGCAAGCACTTTCCATGGATTATCTCAATTTATTCTTTCCAACAGCCCTTTGAGAAGTGGTGTTTTCCCACATTTTCCAGATGGGGAAATTAAGGCTCAGGGAGAATAGGCAAGTGGCTTAAGGTAAGGCAGCAGTTTGGATTTCAACCTGGGGCTGTCTGAATGTTAGCTCCATTCTGTGTCTTTGCTCATATTTCCCTTTGCTCCTGTGTAATCATGCTTGTTTGTCCACACCATCCACTCAAAGAAACATGACTCTTGCCAATACCTAGTTGAATTGTACACAACGTGGTTTGGTGTAGGAATAACTTATACCCTTCTTTTTTTTAGGAATGATCACCAAGACCCACAAAGGAGACCTGAACCTTAGGCTTCCAGAGGAAAAAAACAAGAAGAAGAAGGTAGTGATTAGAGAACCAGAGACTCAGTACTTGGTTGTAAACAGAAACAGTTACTTCACTGAAGTCTGTCCCACAAGAGCCATATCACCCATGAAGAGTGTGATCCAAGGGCAGGTATCTGAGATGCCTCTAGTAAAGAAAAAAAAGAAGAAAAAGAAGGGCCACAGCACGTACTGTGAGGAGCACCTAGAACTTGAGACCATGTTACGTACCAGGTGGACAGAGAAGTCTTCCAGCCCCAGGACACAGGCTGTTGGTCCATCTGAGTTCCTTAATGGGGAAAAGAAAAAGAAGAGGAAGTCCTTTTGGCCTCTGGCTATGTCCCCTGATTTGAGGATGAAGACCTCCCTGGACCCCAGACAGAGGGAGGAAGTGACCAGTGTTGGCAAGAAGCTCAAAATATACAAGAAGGAAGAAAAAGCCCAGAAAACCACAGCCTTCTCAGTAAGGGACACTTGGATCAGCGAGGCCAGATATCTGCATGCTTGCTCATTGGGAAAGTATGACCAGGAACAGGCAGGTGTGGCACATAAAAGGAAGCAGGGGAGCCCCAGGGAACACAACATGAAGATGAAGAAGAAGAAAATCCACCCAGAGGGAGACACCCACTTCAGCCACCCCAAGCCCTTTAGGTCTATGGAGAGCAGCCCTAGGAAAGGAAGTAAAAAGAAGCCAGTCAAAGTTGAGACTTCAGAATACATCCCAATAGGAGATGGCCTCAAGTCCCCTGTAAAGAAGAAAAAGAAGTCCAATAAAAAGGCAGGGCAGCCAGGCATTGAGGAGCCAGCTCTGAAGAGAAAAAGAACAAAGAAAAGGAAAGAGAGCAAAGTATCAGGAGTAACTTGGGAGGAGGTAGGTTGTCCTTCAGAAGTTGATTCTACTTTGGGAGAATAAGGATGGAAGTTGGGAGTATATGTATGTGTACATGTGCACACATGGGCAACTCAACTTTTCAGCTGAAAGAACTCTATTTAAACGACTTAAGCCAGAAAAGGGATTTATTGACACGTTTAACTACTGAGGGGTGGGTCTGGCACAAGAGGAAGTGGCTCAGTTAATACTGACTGAAGGACAGATCTGGAGTTAGATCAAGGTGTTTATGTGGCCTGTGCTCAGCTCTACCAGATGTAGTTGGGGATTATAGGGATGCTCACAAGATGTATTTCTGCATCCAGGATTTTTCCCAGGTCTGCTCTGGTCCACGATTAGACTGGATTTCACCAATTTCCTCCTTTATTCAGAAACCTTTGGGGTTTAGGAGGAACACCAGAGGTTTTGGAGCCCAACTCTTCAGAATCTAGAATCCCTTCTGCCAAGAACCCAGTGAAAGGTAGTCATTTCCCCTCTGCTTAACAGCTGTGACAGGGACTCAGCCTACCAGAGCAGCCCCTGAAATATATGCATGTCTTCAAGGTCTTCCCAGATTATGTTAGAGAACAGAGCCTCTGGGAATAAGTGAAATGTGGCAGTTGTCATTACTAAAGGGAAAGTGGCCAGTTTGAGGCCTCACCATCAGAGAGTCCTCAATGTCTGAAGCCAGTGAGAGAGTGTGGCCCATGTAAGCTTCCATAGTTAAGGCAGGCCCAGAGAGGATGGCCCATGACAGCTGAGATATGTGAGGGGCCTTGGTCAATTAGGCAGATAGAGCAGCAGGTACAGAGGCCCTGGGAGGAGCAAATAGTCTGGGATGGGGAGAACTGGGTGACAGTGACAGAGAACTATAGAGACCACAGAAGCCTGGATTTTATGTAAGCAAGATGAGAGCCCTAGGAGTGTTTTGGGGAGTGAGGTGACATGGTCTGATTGAGGGTTTTTTTAAAGATAAAATTAACATAAAATTATGTACATTTAAGGTGTACAGTGTATTCTGATTGAATTTCTAAAGCTCACCTGAGCTACTCATAGAATGGGAGGGTGAGGAAGCAGGAGTTAGAGACCCGTAGTTTTCCAGGCAGGAGAGAAGGCAGTGACTAGGGAGTGCAGTTGAGCAGTGTGGAGGAGAGAATTGGGTAGGTTTGGGTTTGCTGGCAGGCCAGTTCCCCACACCAATCAGAGGCCTGAGTTCACCTCTGCATTTCCTGGTCCTTGCCATCCTGTCCCCCCTCCTCACCTCTACTATCAGTGGGACCGTATGTTTCTCCTCTGTTGGTTTGGCATTACCGTGGGAAGTCAGATGAGTAGTGTTGGGAAAAGTCATGCCCTTAGCCTGAATCAGGAGACTTGAGTTAGTGTCAGCACTACCCCTGAGCTAGGGGGGTTACCACATGATAGCCACTTCACCTTTCTGAACCTTAGTTTCTTCATCTGTCAAATAGGTGCATGCCACAGTTTTGAGGAGAATCAGAAGAGAAAGGATGTCAGATATTCTGTAGGTGATGGAGTTTGGGGTGCTGCTAGGTTCTTGGGTCTTTTCTGGACTTTGTCATGATCTTACCTTACAGGGCTGCTTGGGCAGAGGGCCTATGCTTGACTTTTGCTCCCTTTGCTCTCCTGTGTAGGAGCCTGACACAGACTTAGAGGTGGTGTTGGAAAAGAAAGGCAACATGGATGAGGCACCCATAGACCAGGTATGACCCAGGTCTTCATCCCCCTCACATTTTGTCTTGCTGCTCCCCTCCTATCAGGCCACAAGATCCTGGTCTCAGAAGGGCCCGGGACTCCAAAAGCCACCAGTCCAGATTCTGTGGCGCATCTCCCATGGCAGAGAATTCTGTGACCTTATTCACTTCATGGTGGGAGAGCCCTTCACTGCCATGTTATTGGCTGAGGGGCCATCTGGTTATTTAAGAACCTTAGGCTAAAGCTTTCCTTCCTGTAGCCACTGCAGTGGGGAGAAAGGGGCATGTCCCCGAGACCTAAAGCCAGGGCAGAGAACACATGCTCAACCAGGCCCACAGGTTGTCACCTCTTGGCTTCAATTCAGGAGCATTTAGAGAAGTGGTTCTGTAGTGCACTGGCTTCTATTTCTTTCAAGCCCAGATCCCCGGTAAGTGCTTTCTCTATGGGAGCTTATCCACTTTGAGAGGATAGAGGGAGGAGATATAATAAAAGTAAGGAGTAGTACAGCTGCACCAGTACCAGGAGCAAGACCAGCATGTATGCTTTCTTCTGGCCTTATTACAGCCATTGGCCACTGAGCAATCCCAGACCAGTGGCTCTGGCCCAGTGGGCAAAAGGCCAGAGACAAAAAGCCACCTGCCGGGACATCCTTGCCAGCGATTGGCTGGGGGGCAAGGGAGGCCAAGGGCTGCCCTATCTCAGCCCACCTGGGGAAATAGGCTGCGTGCCCCTGCTGTGAGTCCCAGTTTCACTGTACTGTGCTCCACGCCCAGCCCATCCTCCTCCCCAGCCTCCTCATGCTCTGCAAACAAGTAATTTCTGGAGAGAATAGTGTGTGATGTGGGATGGCTTCTGTCTCATGGGGCTTTTCCAGGAGAGGAAGAGAAAACTAGTGAGTACTTATAAGAAAGCCCAGTATGAGGAGGGAGGCCTACAAATGCCTTCGGGGCCCTGGGGGACTCTCCCTGGAGGAAAGGCCATCTTAGTGGGGCTGAGAAAATCAAAATGGGATGACACTGACAGCATTGTCCAGAGCCTGGCAAAACACAGGCCCCAGGAAAGGGGAACTCCCCATTCTCCTATAGGTCATGGTCATGCAGTTTGTCAGGGCAACAGTAAATAGCCAGGCTGCTCTGACCCATCCAGGACCCATGCTCCTCTTCCTCAGCTCGGTTCCCAAGTATGCGCAGCCACTCAGGACTCAGTGAGATACTATGACCCTGAGTCATCAGACTCTTTAACTTCATGTGAACAGGGCCCACAAATAACCTCTTGGCTTTTCTATTTGTGCCTATTTAATATTTTACAATTCTGAGAAAATTTCTAACCATTTTGCATAATAGAGAATACCTCACTGTGAGTGTTTTCTGTCTCACCTCTCCCTCTGTCTTTCCTAAGTTCACTGTTATAAAATTGAAAGGAAAAAAAAAAAGGAACCTGAAATCCTATCCCCTAATAATCACTGTTAACCCTTTGTTGATATATTCTTCTAGATTTATCAAAAATACAATATACAGATGATATATTATAGGACTGTACACCTCAAAGCTTTATGTGTAATCCCTTCTAGCTTTATGTGTAATTTTGTTTTTTAAAAATGTATTTTTTATGAATTAATTTTTTAGTTACAGTCAACATACAATATTATTTCAGTTCTAGGTGTGCAACATAATGATTAGACATTTGTATAACTTACGAAGTGATCACCCTGATAAGTCTTGTACCCATCTGGCACTATACATAGCTATAACAATATTATTGACTACATACATTCCCTTTGCTGTGCTTATACTGTTCTGTAACTGGCAATTTGCACTTCTTAACCCTATCACCTTTTTCACCCAGCCCTCCAACACTGTTCGCCTCTGGTGAACATCAGTTTGTTTTCTATAGTTTATTTCTGTCTTACTTGTTTAAGTTTTTAGATTCCACATGCCCATGTAAGGGAATTCACGGTATTTGTTTTTCTCTGACTTATATACCCTCTAGGTCTATCCCTATTGTTGCAAATGGTAAGATTTACTTCTGTTTATGGATGAGTAATATTTCATTTCATTTGTGTACCCAGCATTTTTATCCACTCATCTATTGACGAGCATTTGCATGGCTTCCATATCTTGGCTATTGTAAGTAACACTACAGTGAACATAGGGGTGCATATATGTACCCTTTTCTAATGAGTGTTTTGGATTTCTTTCAATACCAATATGTAGAACCATTGGGTCATAAAGTAGTTCTATTTTTAAATTTTTTGAGGAACCTCGATACTGTTTTCAATATTGGCTGCACCAACCTGCATTCCCACCAACAGTGCACAAGGGTTCCCTTTTCTTCACATTCTCACCAACACTTGTCTGTTTTTTATTGATGATACTCATTTTGACAGGTGTGAGGTGATATTTCATTGTGATTTTAATTTGAACTTTCCTGATGATTAGTGATATTGAGCATCTTTTCTAGTATTTGTTGGCTATCTGTACGTTTTCTTTGGAGAAGTGTCTATTCATGTCCTCTGCCAATTTTTTAAAAACTTATTGGGTTGACATTGGTTAATAAAATTATATGGGTTTGAGGTGTACAGTCCTATAATATATCATCTGTATATTGTGTGTTCACCATTCCAAGTCAAGTCTCCTTCCATCACCATTTATCCCCCCTTTACCATCCTCTACCTCCCCATACCCCTTTTCCCTCTGGTAATCACCATACTGTTTTCTGTAAATATGACTTTTTAAATAGCATAATCTCTTCACTTTTTCACCCAGCCCCACAACACCCCTCTCCTTTGACAACTGTCAGTCTGTTCTCTCAGTCTGTTTCTGTTTTGTTTGTTATTCATTGTGTTCATTAGATTCCATGTATGAGTGAAATCGTATGGCATAATGCCATATGATTTATTTAGCATAATGCCGTCCAGGTCCATCCATGCTGTTCCAAAGGGTAAGAGTAGTATTCCATTATGTGAACGTACCTTAGCTTTTTTATCCACTTATCTACTAATGGACACCTGGGCTGTTTCCATCTTGGCTATTGTAAATAATGCTGCTGTGAACATCAGCATGCATATATTCTGATTGGTGTTAAGGATTCTTAGAATATATTCCCAGAAGTGGGGTCACTGGGTAAAGCAGCAGTTCCATTTTAATTTTATTAAGGAAACTCCATACAGCTTTCCAGAGTGGCTGCACCAGTCTGCATTCCCACAGCAGTGCTCTAAGGTTTCTGTTTCTCCACATCCTCACCAGCACTTGTTTGTTGATTTATGGATAATAGCCATTCTGACAGGTGATGTCTCATTGCTTCTCTCTGCTCTCTCTGATGATTAGTGACATCGAGTGTCTTTTCGTATGTCTATTGGCCATCTGTATGTCCTCCTTGGAGACATGTCTGTTCAAGTCCTTAGCCCATTAATGAATGGGCTGAATTTTTTAGCACAATTTTTTAATTGGGTTGTTTGTCTTCCTAAAGTGGAGTTGTGTCAGTTCTTTAGATATTTTGGAGATAAACCCATTTCTCCTGTGCAACCCATCCAGCCCAGGCCATCCAGTCCAGGTTTTTATGCTAGAGTGTTTAATTTTAGGGTTTTTAAAAAAAGATTTTATTTATTTATCTTTAGAGGGGAAGGGAAGGAGAGAGGGAAATATCAATGTATGGTTGCCTCTCACGTGCCCCCTGCTAGGAACTAGACTGCAACCCAGATATGTGCCCTGACTGGGAATCAAACCGTGATCCTTTTGTTCACAGGCACGCGCTCAATCCACTGAGCTATATCAGCCAGGGCTGTGTGCCACAGTTTTTTATCACAGCTTCAATTTCATCAACTGTTATTGGTCTGTTCAGCCTTTCTGATTCTTCATTCAGTTTTGGAAGATTATATTTTTCTAAAAATTTGTCCATTTCATCAAGGTTTTCAAATTTCTTGGCATATACTTCTTCATAGTAATTTCTTACAGTCCTTTGTGTTTCTGTGGTATCAAGTTGTAATCTCTCCTCTTTTGTTCTGGTTGTGTTTATTTGGATCCTCTTTCTCTCTCTTTTTTTTTTTTTCTTGATGGGTCTGCTTAAAGGCTTGTCGATTTTGTTTGCCTTTTCAAACAACCAGCTGCCGAATTTATTGATCCTTAGAATTGTGCATTTAGTCTCTATCTTGTTTAATTCTGCTCTGATCTTGGTTATTTCCTTCCTCCAAGACAGCTCTTGGCTGTCTTGTGGTTGTTCCTCTGGTTCTTGTAGGTGTAGGGTTAGGTTGTTTATTTGAAATGTTTTATCTTTTTTAGGTAGGTTTTATGGCTGTGAACTTCCCTCTCAGGGATCTGTTTGCTATGTCCCATAAGTTTTGTATAGTTACAAGTTCATTTTCACTTGTTTCTAGAAATTTTTTTATTTCTTCCTTGATCTCCTTCTTAACCCATTCATTGTTTAATAGCGTGCTATGCAGTCTCTGTAGGTTTGAGTGGTTTGAGATTTTGCCCTGAATTTGGTTTCTAGTTACAGTCCCTTGTGGTTGGAGAAAATTTTCAATTTTCTTCAATTTGTTGAAGCTTGTTTTGTGTGCTATTGTGTGGCCTATCTTTGAACTGTTCCATGTGTATTTGAAAATAATGTGCATTTTGCTTCTTTGGGATGAAAGACTCTCTCTATAAATATCAGTTAAGTCCATTTGATCAAGGATATTGTTCAGTGCTGCAATATCTTTGTTGATATTTTATTTGGAAGATCTATCCATTTTTGACAGCAGGGTGCTAAAATCCCCTACTATAATTGTGTTGCTGTCAATGTCTTTCTTGAAGTACTCCAATATTTTCCTTATACATTTAGGTGCTCCTATGTTGGGTGCATATATATTAATAATGTTTATGTCTTCTTGATGGATTCTTCCCTTCCTTGAGTATTATGAAGTGACCTTCTGGGTCTCTTTTTACGGCCCTGCTTTGAAAGTTACTTTGTCTGATAAGAGTTTTGCCACCCTGGCTTTTTTTCCCCTGTGCATTGGCTTAGAATATTTGTT